TAGAGAAGAAAATCCAGATGACTTTTGTATTGCTTTAATACTGCTATCCCTACATAGTGCTGGCACACTCTCAGATATGGTAATATTTCTATCCTAACACTGTAAAAGCTTGGTCCATTTGACTGATTTTATAATCACTACAAAACCTGTGAAATAAATCTAGATTACCTCATAGCTCCCCATCATCTCTTGATAGATTTGAGATATAATTACAGTTTTAGACTCAGGATGTCAAACCCTTTTAATAGATGACTACGCCCAAGTTTTTCATAGCTTAATTTACTCTAATTCTGCCTAACAGAATTTCAATTTGAGGGTAGGCTGATAGAGAACCTGATGAATAATAAAATCAAATCGGGTATACGCACGTCCTATGCTTGCAATTGCCGGTGCACAAAAGTATAACTAATAAAAAGGAAAAAAGGCCTCATAGATTAATTTATCTGATCTTGCCTAAAATAATTTCAATTACCATGGTTATTGAGGATTTCCTCTTGTTTCTTTTCTAGAATGACTGCAGAGTTTAACAGAAAATTACAATAATTCATCCTAAACAGCCTCAGGCCTGTAAAAGTTTACATTTAATGTTATTGTTTTATTGCTCTTTCAGCTGTATCTAACTACTAAACTTGCATAACAGAACAAATTATCGAGAATATTCTCTTTTGTTATGCCTTTTTCTTACACCATGTTTGTTTTTATAGTCCTCAAGAGAAAAAACTAAAAGATCTTCAAATGAAAACAGCAGTAAATCAGAAATTAATAGAAACTGGTGAGCGAGAAAGGTAAGACTGGTTAAACCTTTGTTTTTACTGCTACTTCATGGTCATAAGCTACTTTATCATGCATGTAAACATGTCTTCAGACGTTGCATGTTTCTAAAGAAAGTTTCTAAAAATCCAAATTGTGCAAATATTTTTGTAAATGATCATTGTTATTTTGTTTAAGTTAATCATAACATGTGGTACTGTAACGTATACGTTTGTGTGTTCCTAAATATAGTGTATTGTACCTACTATAGCATTTTTAAGGTAAAAATAAAAAATTTTTCTTTGTTGTGTAAATTATTTATTTATTATTTTCTTTGACATCTTGAAAAACAAGTTAATAACAAATTTTAAAAATTAGATATTTGTCCAAGTTTTAGTCCGTTTCAGAAATACAAATTTTAAAAGAATGCATCTATTAGGCGTGAGTTTGATGTTAGCCTAATTGTACTTGCTCACCAATCACAACTGAAACGCAACACGTAGAAATTGAATTCAAACTTATATAGTTTGAAATAAACAACAAAATTTACCGTTATTGGTCAATGAAAAGAAATTCATCCTTATCCTAAAAAAACAAAAACTTTACCATGTTTACTAGTTGGCACAACAACTTGTGATGGTATTAGATAACCTCTTTGTAAAAGTTAAAATAATTCATAAGGTGGACGTCAAAATATTATAAAATATATTAAAACCATGGTCATACAAGAAATTCTTTAATTACAGATGTATCGATTTTTCTTACATTATCATCAGCATGAAAAGACATAAAATGTAGTTAACAGCTTTGTAAGTATGAAAAGCATCATAAGCTTTTAAGCAAGAAGTTGTTGGTTGGACGGAAGTTCAGAAAAACACATACTCAAAAACAAATATATAATGCCCCCACAGCAGAAATGACAAACGTGGCCAATGGCAACGGAAATTGAACCCTCAACTTCTGAATCGCAAGGAAACCACCCTAGTTAGAAATCACTAAGCCATGGCAGCTCAAAATCAAAGATGAAAAAACTTGAATCAATAAAAAATTATAATAATACTGAAAAATCATAATGGCAACATTTCAATTACTTGAATGGCTGAAAAATAAAAACAGTAATAACTGGAAACACGAATTTGGATTTGTGAGTCTTGTTTCTAATCGACTGAGCTGAACAAATGTAAATTAATCAATTTAATTGTCAAGCTCTAATCCTAGTGTCAACGTATTACATCAGTATCATTTCCTCAGGTTTATAATAAAAGCTTTATTATATACGTGTTTTATTCATATAATAAAGCTGATAATAAACTATCACAAAATAATTTGTTTTACTTTGCTTATTTGTATACTTAGACCATAAAGCGGTTTTTTTACAAAACTACTAAATCTAACTAAACTAATCCCTCAATAAACAAAATGATCCTAAGATTTCACGTGAAAAGATTCTTATGATAAATAATAGATGAATCGGTGAAGAAGAATACTGAACTATTTGAAAACGCTCAAGTTTTCAGTCTATATCATGAAATATAAGAAAAGTGTAAAGAAAATAATATATCTAGGTTCATTTGCATGAAATACCTTATACATGCAGGACACAATCACACAACCATAAAAAAACAAGACAACCTATTAGAAAAATCTATAAAGTCTATAACATATTCAACTAGATGCTTATTGTAGTATGGTAGAATTGGAAGTAAGGTGTGATACAGTTTGGACAAAAATACCCGTTTTTTCTTTTATTCTTTTCCCATTAGAATTCTCCTTTTCTTATCAGAAGCAGGCTACAAAAATTCCTGATTGTGCTTCCATCTATTGGTGGAATATGTAATTAGCATAAAACACGCATTCAGTCTTGCATCAAGTGTACTTGGGTGAATAACTTCTGGGACACAAGCATCCTGACTTAACATGGTATAATAATTATTTACAATACTACTTGGCCCAAATATACTCAGGATAACCAGGGAAGCAGTTAATAATATTTCAGCTTTTTTACGGGTTTCATATTATTCACATGTATAGTAAAAGTAATTTGTGTACAACAGTCTAGGATTAAAAAAAGTAACTTGATTTTAAATTGTTGTACCTGAAGATGTATATAATATTAAAAGAAGGGTAGTTTGAAAATATATTTAATAAATCCAAAACAAGCTGAAAATAGAAATATTACTCTAATGAGAAGTTGAATGTAATTAATTAACAAGTTGAATGTATTTAAATAACGAGTCCAATGATTGCTCTATTAACAAATTCCACTAACTTCCCAGCTCTAATTTAGACAAACAGTTATGTCAGTAGTTTATATAAAACTTGTATTAATTAAGCAAAAAATTGACAAAATTATTTAAATCAGTTGAAAAATAATGCTTAAGTCACACTTGCAGATACATGTTCACCCCAAAATCTGTAGAATACAAAATTTGTAAACTTTGGATTAGTTACAAGCAATTAGATCAAAGATCCTTTACTTTACTCTGCTCTGGTTTTTTTTTATTTATGTACATATGCTTCGTTCTTACTGCATGGTGTTATGCTGCTTTAAAGTGTTTTGTAATAATGTTTTAATTTTGACACATTTATATAACTTCTATTTTCTGTTCACTGAAATTGTACAGCAAAGGTACTCAAAAAACTTCAGTTGGGATTCAGCCTTAGGTTAGGCTTATAAATCAAGGTTTTGTATTGTATTATTGAAATTCATGTTCTTCACACTCAACAACAAACATGTTGTGAGGACAAGCTATCACCATCCTTTATGGGCACCGTTATCCCTCGGGAAGAAACACTAAGAGTAACCTTTAACGGACAACTCGGTTTCACCAGCCATATTAACACCATGTTAACCAAAGCTACCAAAGGCATCAATGCACTTAAAATGGCAGCAGGAAATAGAGCATACATAGGGTGATGTTCTTGAGTAGTGCAGGAAACAGAGCATACATAGGTGATGTTCTTCACTGTGAAGAATTTTACTTGTAAGCATTGTTGGTGTCCTGCAATGCTTGATAGGATGACTGAAATACATCCTGTAACCAGTCTTAAACTGGTGTTTTGTATCTTTTCAATCTTATCTAGCTTGTAGCACTCGGACTGATTGTGGATTATGCACTACTCAAGAATATCACCAACGTATGCTCTATTTCCCGCACTACTGAAGAACGTTATCTATGTACGCTCTGTTTCCTGCACTACTCAAGAACATCACCTATGTAAGCTCTGTTTCCTGCACTACTCTTTTCCATCATTGAGTCACTATCCTTTTCAATTAGGACAGTCTGCATCCATAATGAACTTGCAGAAACAGGGGATTACTAAAAGGTACTTCAAGAGACAATCTTCGGTTGATGGGTAATATACAGTCACCTGTCACTATCAGGTCTCGGGTTTACCCATGTGGAATAAATGTGATGCCATCAGGATTTGTGGAAATCAACCTAGATCGAATAAATGTGATGCCATCAGGATTTGTGGAAATCAACCTAGATGGAATAAATGTAATGCCATCAAGATTTTTGGAAATCAACCTAGACAGAAATTGTAGAGATAAGGCAGATGGTGAATGAAGCAGAAAAAAGCCTGTCAGTATCTGATTATATACCACAGTGAATAATCACCTGTTGTCATGGTCACAGAGGTTTTCTACACCAAAGATACTTGGAGAGCTAGCTGGTTGGACATTCATTGTCTCATAGAACAACATCATTCTGCATAATGCTGGTGGGGCATTCAAGATTCCCACAAGTAGCACAAGGATGGAGCTGGAAGCCATAAAGTAAGCTCTTCTCTGGATTGTTGAAAGCAATAAATCACAAATAGATAGTGCCACCAACATAATAGCTGTGACTAATTGACAAGCTATGCTGCATAAAATTGTTCCCTGATGAATGGCAGAACAACTGCATGATAAGATCATCACCTGGATGTATGTGCCAAGTTATGCAAGAGGTAAAGCTAATCAAGGAAGCTGACAAGCTCGTATGAAAAGCCTCTTTTGGCAGGATATCAACCGATCGGCTTTAGTAAGTTAAACCCGCTACCATAGAAAGTCTTCACCTACATTAATAGGTAATGAAACTACCTATAAAAATACTGTATGGTTAGTTGGGAAACGTAATAGGTGAAGAATCAGTAACACTTTACACAGCCAGAAGGATATTGGTAACATTAGTAAAGGAACTCTACCTCCCGAGAAGTAACCAGTCTCCACGTGAGGTGTCAATGCCTGGCAGCACCCACTCTAGGATTGTCACATGGTGTTTAACTCAACTGTAGAGATTCATTTTGTATATCTTAAACTAAGAGCCTCAGTGGGCCATCCTTGAAATGATTAAAAGCAACTTATCTGATAATGATACAGTTTGTAATAAAATTCTGTTATAATTAGCTCTTGTATTTTCTGTTTTCACATGAATGGTTTCACTTGGAGAACATGCAACAATATAGGTTCAGTTGGAAGTGGACTTCATGTTACAGTTAGAAATTAAGGTTTTGATTCCTTTAAAATTGTCACAAAGTATATTATTAAAATTAGTTTTTTATTCCAACAACAAAGAACAAGATATACCTCCTTTCAAATTGGTCTGAAAGCTTGTTTGTTTACTTTACAAGAAGTGAAACTTTGAAAAATTTCAAATCTCTTTACTTCTATTATGAAGTGAAAGGTAATTGTTCATTATTTTGGCTCTGTATGTTCTAGCATTTTATATGTCTTGGTGCTTATATACACACCAAAACACAACAATACTTGAACTATTCTTTCTTATATTTTATAACTTCTTATGAAATGACTTAGTTTTACATTCTACCAGTTCGTGACTTCAAAAGTCACTCACTCCTCAGGATGAACTTTAGAGAGAGAGAACCTACAATATTTTTTTAACATAAAGAAGTAACACTTGATTAAATAACTTATAAACATTAAGAAATAATAATAATAATAGTTCATTATATAATTGATGCTGGCTGATAAAGTTAGTGATAATACTTTTATGTTGTTTTTAGTTTACCCACAAGCTTTCTGTCACAGTTACAACTATTGTTTTCCATTGCTTCAGTCTATGAACTACTGGTTACTGACAGTGGGACTGTTAAAAATGTATGAACTCAGATCATGTAAGATATCACAACAGTTGCCTGACTGTTGCTAAAACAATACTGTGAACATTAGAAAAGTCAAAAAATGACTGTCATGATTGGACATTTTTATTTTCTTCTATATTTCATTTGTTTTTATATTTTTAACAGATACCATTATTGCCATACATTGTAAAGCTTTTCCAATAGTACATTTTACTGCCCTCATGGTCACGTTATTTTTCCATGTTTCTTAATTGCTTGGTTGCTGTTTTAGTCTGTAGACAGAAGGATCTGGTATGAGAGGTAACATAAAACCAATTTTGAAAACAAAATGGCCTTATTGTATTAATATTTAGATAGGAACATTTAGTTCAGAAAGATTTTGTAAACCTTGTATCAAAGGTTGTTGAATTAAACAAGATATTCTAACTAATATGTACCTTTTCTGATCTTACAGATTAAGGGAACTGCTTCGAACACGCCTCATTGAATGTGGGTGGAAAGATCAAATGAAAGCCTATTGTAAAGGTATGATACCTCACTTAAAAATATAACAAGATATCTAAAATGTTATGGATCTCTAGATATTGTGGTTTCTTCCAGACTAATCTCGCCAAGACCTGCGTTAAAGTAGCCTCCTGCTGGCTGACCGGTAAGGCTGAGAGCTTATAATGCTATAAATAGTTTTTGATAATTGCGATGGGTACAGCACAGATAGGCCATTTGTGTATCTTTGTGTTGAAAAACAAATAGTAAACATTGTCTTTGCAGGTGAGAATACGATGTTGAGATCTATGAAAATACCATTTATGTATATATATATATATATATATGCATAGATATATAAGTTCACAATATATAATGTTGATCACATCTGTTCATCACTTTTTACACATGAAAAGTATGCAAGTTTTAAAAAGTTTTTCAATCACAGTGAAATAAAAATGTACACTATTAAACTGTTGTTTACAAATGTACGTACGAACTCAAGAAAACAGTAGATAAATAAAGTAAAATAAATGTAGAAGAATGATTTGATCTTTTACAACTAAAGCCCTTTTTTTAATTTAACGAGTGAAAGTATTAATTTTTATGTTTAGGAACTGAACCACAATAGTTTCTAATCAATAACATCAAATCAATTTCAAAATCTACGATACTATGCTATTAGTGTTTCTGGTCGCTGTGATTGGTTAGTTTAATTCTTTAAAATGTGTGGATGTTAACAATCGTAAGTCCAAAGAAAAATACATACACGCACTAGACCCTTCAAGCATAATCCATTTCCAATGCCAATTGCTATATCTTAATGCTTAGTTAGGTAGATCTGGTATAGAGTCCGTAGACAGCATTTATCTATACGTGGTCTCACTAAAAAAATAGTTTGTAACAAGTACATGATACTTTATTTTAGTCTTTGAATTCTTATCACCTGTTTGATAATAAAGTATTCAAAATTAAGCCATTAAAATTATTAACTAAGTGTATGCTTTAGATTTTTCTGGAATGGTAGCATACACTTGGATGTGATGATAGTTTCTAGTAACATTTTTGTTTTTCATGAAACACTTATTAATCATCATAACCATATCGATTAGAATGGCTTTTGACACCTTTTATGGCATAAAACTGCATAAACCTTTTGTTAATTCATTAGAATCAGGCAGAACAAATGACACCTTTTATGGCATAAAACTGCATAAATCTTTTGTTAATTCATTAGAATCAGGCAGAACAAATGACACCTTTTATGGCATAAAACTGCATAAACCTTTTGTTAATTCATTAGAATCAGGCAGAACAAATGACACCTTTTATGGCATAAAAGGTGTCAAAAGCCATTCTAATCGATATGGTTATGATGATT